CAAGTCAGTTCCCTCCTACCTCAGGTAGGAAGGACTGAAACAAAAAAGTCTCTCCATTGAGCAAAGTGGTTAACAAAGTGACTTCAGATCATAAGGCACAACTGTACTACCAAACAACACAGTAATTCGGGACAGAATCAGCCGAAAGTACTTTTGCATAAAAAAACCCAACTGAACTCACTCCTTGTCTAGGATCTTCAGAGCACAGGGTTTGTTTCTTTCCTGCACAGCCTGTGGATCCCCTCGTTTTGGGATCAGGGCTTCCCAAATTGTACATCAGATGAAGACAGAATGCACTGACTCCGGTCCCACTCAAGAACCTACAAGCTCTGCAGAGGACCTTCTCACCCCGAGAGCAATTGTTTTGCAAGAAGTCAGCTCTCCTGTTTGCATGCCTCATCCAGCAGGAGATGCTCCCTCTCACCTGCCTCTCATTATTCCTTGCCTGTCAAAGGCTGAGGTTTTGGGTTTGCCCTTGTCTTCACCTCTTGGTTTCTGCCTCATCAAATAGTGCCATGTCAACACAAGGAGCAAGAGGAAAAGAGATTATACGTGTGACTGCTTTCAGGGTGGGTAAGATCCTGAAATGGGCCATGGCTTTGTGTTTCCTCCCTCCCTCTCTCCTGCCAGATGCCCTTGGTCCTGCAACTGAAAGGAGGAGAAAGGAGCCGAGGTTACTGAAGTTCATTCACTCCGAGCACAGGGCTGCTCTCGCCTCTCTTCCTGTTTGCATGGAAGTATCAGTCCCTCAGACAAAGGGAGAGAGAAAGAGGCCAAGAGTGAGAGAGAGGAGGCGATGGTAAGAGAAGATAGGCTCTTCGCTGGTTAATGAACTGGAAATGAATAACAAGTGGTATCAGGAGTGATGTGGCCACCTTGCTGCCATGAAATTCCTTTAAAGGCCATTGACACAAGTTCCCTTGAACTCTGGAAAACGGCACAAACGAGATCTGAGTAACAAAGCTCCAGTCTCTTCTAACCCTTCTAGGCTTTCTATCACCTCAGCTTTCAAGCTCCTGGCTAACCCCGAGTATAATCATCTCAGAAATGGCAAAAACTAGGGCATGCACTGGTTACTGCAAGGAAGATGTTAGAGTAGCAGCATCCCTCCACCTTCCCCTCTCCTCCAAGCCATCTTGTAAAATGACAAGTCATCCTTTCTCAGCTCTATCTGGCCAGATGAGCTGTGAAACCAGTGCCTCAACTTGGGGAGCAGACAGAGCACAACCACTTTGGAGCAACACAAACTTCTGCAGCACGCATGGGGATGAACATGAGCAGAACTTGCCGTTTATAGCTGAACTACAATAATCCCCTGTGTCTGGCTGCGAATCCAGCTCATCAATGGCTCAACACCGCTATCAGCACCGACCTTCAGATGGCAGGAAACACAACTGAGGCTTTGACAGGGGCTTCCAACAGGAAAAATCCCATCTGTGCTCCTCCCAGGAGGATGAAACACACAAAACAGAGCAGCTGCCCCCTCCTGCTAGCAGAGGAGCAAAGGGCAGCTCTCTGCCTCTCCTTGGGAAGAAGGGGAAGGGAGGGGATCCAGCCTGGAGATTGTCTGTAGAATATGTTTGCCAGCATCAGCTATAATAGCAAACTCTCCCTATGGAAACTCACTTTAAAACAAAACAGCATTCTTTTGCCAGTACCACACACAATTTCCCCAAGCAAATTAAGCTATCCTACCACCAGGTCTTTTTTTTTTTTTCCCTTGCACATCTAAATGTATCTACGCAAAGGTGGTTTTGGTTTGTGTGTTTGTTGTTCTGCCTAGGGCCCTTGTATTGGCTAATGGTGTCATTCTGTTGCAGTTCTAACCACACACCAGACACACAAAAAAAAGTCAAAAGTGAGAAGCCTTCAAGCAACCTAGAAACTTCCTACTACAAAATAATCTACTAACTAGCAAAGCCCTGCTTTGGAAAATTAAAATTGAGGTGTTTGCAGCTCATTATTCCCACTACTGACTGGTTCTAACACATCCTACGTGCAGCAACAGCTCATCATGTCCTACTTGAATGCCAAAGATGAGATCTGACCCCACCGCCTTAGTTTCCTTATAAATGCTACTGCATGGCAGCACAGAAAACATGCCCACAGACTCTTGTTTCTTTCTGGATTCCTTCTCTAGCTTTACTCAGCCATCAATACCTTGTTCTACACAATTATACAAAGCTACCCAAAACGTAAAGCCAGCCATTCTTTGAAGCAAGTTTTAAGATCCAGAGCATCCTTAATCTTCCCAGAAAACAGGGTTTAAGAGACAGGAAATAAAAGTGTCATCCAGATCAGAGGTAATGGCAATAACTAGATAGGTTCAAAACGCTGTTTTTTTCAAAATCAGGTTTGCACAGAAGGGGGTTAAAAAAAAAAAAAAAAAACCCACACAGAAAAGTTAGAGAACCCTCTCTCTTAAATCACTGTGGACTTCCACAGGGGCACCACATCACAGAACAAAAGAAAACTCTACCTTAGATCCTACATTCCTCTTTTATGACCCTCAGTCCCACAGATGTTACAGCCCTGCTTCAGGGAACACAAGTCTGACTCATGGTAGATCTGAGTCGTCATTCTAATGCTATCTTCAAACTGAAGGGAGAGATCAGAACTTTTTTTTAAGAGAAAGAAAAAAAAAAGTGGCAAGAATGAATATGCTAAATACCATCCTGATAGTGGAGATGCCAGGGAAAAAGGTTAAACCTTGTCCCTAAACAATAAGAGAACCAATTAGATTATGCCTAGAAGAGAACACTGCAGGCCTTTTTTCTACATGTAGGAAATTATGATGATAAACAATCACATAACATACTATTTACCTGATTGTTTCCTTAAAAATAATTTCATCTCCACTCAACTATGCACTAATGAAATAACATTTCACGACCCATGCCTATTCTAGCCAAGTGTCTTTATCAGCTGGCATTACGAATGGGAAATCCGCTCAGCTCCCCAGGTTGTCTCAGCCCCATCCCTTCAACATCAGTACCCCAAACCACTGAGGACTCCTCTGAGCAGAAACACGGCCCAGTCCACCGTCAGCACTAAACTACTACTACAACAGATAAAAGCAGTAAAAACAGCTGCAATATTTTACCAGGAAGATGACAAAGGACACGTAAAGCTGTAGGATGCATCACAGCAAAGCCAGAAGGAGAACTTAAAAGCCCTCAACTCCCAGCCCTTGTCCACACCACCTTCTCCTTCAAACTGGTCTCTCTCCATCCTCTAACAGCTATGAAATAAAAGAACATGAAGAACAGAAGAGAAAAGACTAAAATAGAGGGCTGTTTACAGTTCAATTGTTTGTTCATTTTTCCAGTTTCCTCCTTTCCTCCCACCCCAAGAGTACTTTCCTCAGCATGCTGCACATCACCATAACTGATACAAGATTGTTTCTGGGAAACAGCCTTTTCATAAGGTATCTATATAGCACTTTGTATCCAAGCACTATCTCACCTAAAAGCATCAATCAAAGCAAATACTACCGCTCACAGGCAAAACAGAAATACAGTACTGGATTGCAAAACACACAGGAAACTCATTAAGATTCCCTTAGGGGCAGTAGGGGAAAAGTACCGATTCCCATTCATAGAAATATCATCCCTAGATGTAGCACAGAGGTCAGGAAGAAATGACAGTACTACAGAAATACCCATATAAAGAACACATTGGAGGGACAATGGAATGGAGTTTTAAATTGCTTCAAAGTAAGCTTGACTCTTAAGTCTATTCCCCACTCATCCATTACCTGGGATATATTTTGGCAGGTTTTGCTTACACTGCTCTTAGAAGAGCTGAAGAGAGGTAGGGGTTCCCACCCTGCAACAGGTGTACATATCCACACCTAGATCAGCCAGGAGACTGCAGCAGAGCAAGAAGAGGGATCAGAAGAGCTGCCAAGAAAAACAGTGAAGACCAGCATAGGGATGCAGGTCAGAATAAAGGACTATTAAGAGCTCTGTTGCAAAGTACACTTGCCCTGCTTTGACTTTATTATTCTGGATCCTGGCCTGTATGGTCTGTTTCTCCTTTGCGGGTCACTGCAACTAAACACAAGGTATAATAACAGTAAACAAGAAGGAGGGATTTTTTTTTTAATAAACCCACAGGGTGAAAGGTAGGAGGGAAGAGTTAAAGGTCTGAAAATGAGAGAAAGAGAATCTGTGTGACAGGAAGGGAGCATGTGAGAGGGCGTGTGACAGGCTGGGTAGCAGAATGCGTGTGCAGATCTCATTCCCTTCGAGGCTCTTGGCCAAACGTGGAGCTGAACTTTCTGCAGACTTTGTCCTGCCAAGTCATGTTCCCTTCTCACACTGCCTGACATCACCACAAATACTCAGCTGGAAAACAGTCCAGAGCCGGACAGAGTCCACTGCTGAACCACCAGCCAGTGAAATGGCTGCACTCACGGCACACCCACCAAATGAGAAACCAGAGCCACTGACTCTCCTCACAGGTTATCTCCAAGTGCCCAGAAGGCCCGTCCTCATCCAGGCAGAAAGAGCCCTAACAAGGCACAAAGAGATCAGAGATGCTAACAGACAAAGCCTTTCTATTGCCCAAATAACATAGCCCAGGACTGAAAGTGTGCACAAAGGCTCTAATAGGAAAAAAAAAAAAAAAAAAAAAAAAATCATCAGATTGTCAGGGTTTGTCACAAGCAACATGCTTCAATGAGCCCACCCCATTCCCAACGCCAGTGCAACCCTGCCGTGAGAGGAAGGAAGCCATCACACACAACCCACGGACGAACCAGGAGCCAGTGGTTCTGCAAAGACCGAAGCTCCAGCAGGGTCCGTGTGAAGCAAGCAAGCAAACATTACCCTGTCAAACAACTCTATCATCTGACTTCTCAGAAATAATTGCAAACCCAAGATCAGCGCTGGAAAATGCAAGCACGTGTATGAGTGTGTGGGAGCAGGCAATGGGGCTAAGCCAACAGGTGGCTGGATTTCCTATTTTGATCCATGTATCAAGGGAGAAGGGTGGGGATGGCCTGCCAGTTCTGGGACACTGCTAAAGGCACCACCCAGAGCAAGTATCAGGGAGTAGCAGCTGGAGATGATACTAAAACAAGGGAGGACAAAGTCTGCAGTCTCGTTTTATCTTCAGCCTTCATCCCCAGCCTGGTGATCAAAAGCAGCTTGATAGAAAATGCCCTCAAAGTGCAGGTGACAGGGAAAAAAATCATGTTTTCTTCAGGCAGAGGTTTCTGCTTTCTCCACTCCTGTTCCATTTCTAGGAAAAAAAACAGCAGCTTAGGAGCTTTCTGGAGACAAAGGGAAAATTTTCTTCACTCCCGTATAGCCCAGAAATTTAAGTCCCCTCTTCTCAGACCCACCTAAACAACAGAAGCTACATTACGTGATCTATACTTGTCAGTATTTCACAACACTCCTCACAACCGTATTTCCCTCTTCCTTTGCTAAGGAAGAGAATCTGACGCCTTTCTCAAAGGTCTAGCAGTGCAACCTTGCCTGTCCACATGCTATATGGACCTTAAATCATACCTGTAGGGCTGCCTGCCCAGACTTGCAGATGCCAGAGAATCTTTCCCCCTCACCAGTTGCAAACACAGAAGCTATCTTTTCAACTTCTTCCTGGGCCTTTCACAGAAACCAGAATATTAGTCCTCTCCTGCAGACAACAGCCAAGGGCAGGAAGCAGTCAGTCAGAAGACCAGAATCACAAAGTTGGGTATCTGAAGGCAAGGCGATGGCTTCCTCCTTTTACCCTCGGAGCACACAGCTGGATGAGCTGCTCTGGCTCAGCGGCAGCGCTCATGCAAGCCAAAGCACGCTGCCGAGGGGGGCTGGCCACGGGACTCCCTGCACCTGCATGTCAGGGCAAGCGCCACCAGAGCAAGTCTCCAAGGCTGTTCCAGCACAACTTCATGTGCCCACAAAGATTTGCACATGGGTTCTTGCTGGTAGGTGCTCAAGCTGCCACTACACGTGTGTATCTGACAGCCTGACTGTGTAAGAATCCTCCATGAAAAGTCACTGGCATGGCACGTGGAATCCTTTGGGGGCTGGCACGTTTCTGCACGTATGACCCTGGCAACCAAGATAAATGGAGCTGTTGCAGAAGCCTACCTCTTTGCCCTCATTTCATAAGGGCCCTAAATAGACTATTTAAATTACAAACATTTTCCTTTAAATGGATTTTACACACATTTTTCACAATTACAGTCATTAAGTTAATGACAATTTATGATAAAGTCTGAACCGGTCATTTAGACAAACAAACACACACTCAACCCAAGTAGCGCATGGTTGCTGGAGAATGTTCAAAGGAGCATAATTCTTAAATTGTAGAAAGTCACTAAGTCCTCAGAACCAGAATCCACTGAAGTACCAAACAAACTTTTCTCAAAAAGGGCAGAAAGATTAGTTTCTTCAATTCACTTACTAAATTAGTCAGTTCACTCAAAACTGGGGGAGGCAGTGTAAAATGGGCAGGGAACTGCTTCTCTTTTCCAATCTCTGAATAAAAACAAGTCAAGGGAGGATGAGCTATGCTCATTCTAAGATCTGGAAGGACACAACAACCAAAAACAACCAGTTCATTCTGCTAAGTACAGATAACACTACCCTGTTAAAATAAGTCAGTTTTAATAACACACACACTGCAGCAAAGCCTATCAAGCATATTTTCTCTTATGTATCCAGGGTGTGATTTGTGTGATCACAGCCTAATTATTAAAAAAACTGCATCTTTAATTTGACCTTTTAATTGAAATGCAGCTTTGTACAAGTCATGAGGAAAAAAATTACTCACCTAGTAAACACAAATGACCATTTTTCTAATGTAAACATTTACTGTGATATAATAGCATAAAGGGGTGTATGCAGATACACTGCATCATCCTGTTTAGCAAGAAGCAATAATAGATGAGCCTAACCAATTAGACTAAACCTTCCTTTTAAGAAAGCATCAAATGAAAAACAAAGCTTAAATTAATTATTTAAATCAACAACTTTAATCATGATTTAAATCAGCAAGTGGGAAGCCTTGATTTAAACCAATTAGCTGTGTTTGTTTCGTAGCTGTAGTAAGACCAGCTGGCCTAGACTGTCCCTCTCCCTAGAGGGAGAGAGGATACAACTTCCACGCCCAGTTCGTTTCAACAAATTTTACAATTCTATTTGACACTTTTTTTTTTTTAAACCTTAAATCAAACTAGAAGGACCCACATGCCAGGAGACACCTACTCTCTTGTCAGTCATCTGCTTTAGCAATCGGTCTGATACACCTAACATCTTTTATTTACATCTCAGAGAGGTTTCTGTGCGTACACAATACAACCTGGCTCTGCAGCATGGCTTTTAAATTGCTTCAATCCTCACATCTCATGAGACAGTTTTCCTACTTAATCCTACAGACACTAGTTCTGGTCTGTTCAAAACAAGACTTAGATTTCTCATTCTCTTAATATTCTCTTCATTTCTCCATCAACTTCCCACTAAATAAACATTTATCTTTGTCCCTCCCTTAAACATACTGGAGTCTGAAGTGCTCTGCTCTCCTCTGTTCACTACTCTGTTTAGCCTTTGCCCTCCCAAAAGATGACACTTAAAAGCTTGACAATGTATATTTCAAAGCAATTTATGAAACTATACCAAAAATTGAGTGTATCACCTTAACATTTTCTTTTTGACACTCAATAAGGTAATTTTGCTTTACAGAAAATCTGTTTTTGATATCCCCACATCTAAAAGTGCAAGTACACTGGCTCTAGGAGAGTCTCCTCCTTAGTGAGGACACAAGAAAGGAATTTGTCTATGCTCCAAAAATGGAAAAAAGGTACTCTGTCCTGAGTGGGAAGTCACAGCGCAAAAACCACACAGGAGTGCTAAGGTAACCCATCGCACCACTTCTAATAGAGGCATTTTTAAGATCTGCCAGAGTATGAACAGCCTCATCTAATTTAAAAATATTATACGCATCTCTCAAACCCAAACTGACCACAATACAGCTTCTAGCTGCAGTAACTGCAATGAAAATGCTAAGTCAACTTGTGTATTAGCAGGCGTATGATCTCATGACCAAGTTCAACCTGTTTGCAGCCTGAATGCAGACCTGTACCTGTCAGCAGAAAGCATTCCCCTAAATTCCCTCCTAAAATGAGAATCCTTCTTACTGAGACAGTTTCCACAGCCAAGAGAATGTGATTCTGTCCTTCTAAATTATTAGACTGTGAGGAAAACAAGGTAAGACATCCTACTTGCAAACCCACAGAACCATTTTGCCCAATGAAACAAAATACCTTTGTCTGACAGGTTTCACCTCAGTTCTGAAACACTGATTCTTCTCCAAGATGGTCAGGTTTGTGAATCTTATTACTGGGGGGGGGGGGGGTGACACACAATCTGATAAGCTTTCCTATTCATTATGCAAAGACTCACACATTTGTGACAATGAGACTTTCACGGCAGCTGCTTCCAGAGCAGAAAGCAGACTCATCCTTCGATGCATTCAAGACAAAGCACATTATATTCTATACTCTTCCTTGGGCAGATGGGAACATAACTTCTGAAAAACAGCAACAGTTAAAGACCTTAAGTTCAAAACTGGAAATTTTGAAAACTGTCAATCTTGGTAGCCATACAATCAGATTTAATTACGAGACACGTGACTTTTGAGGTCTGAGGCCATCAGCACTGAATCAACCATTTAACAACAGCAAAAAATTCAAACTTGTGTTTACCACAGAACAAGTGCTGAGTTGTGAGGACTAATCCTAGAGAAAGCATCCTTCCTGGAAAAAAAAAAAAGTCACAGCAATCAAATGCACTTTAAAGCACTGGAGACATGACTCTTCCTGCAGGTGTGAGATCAGAAGGCAGCAAACTCACCCTCTGTACTTGTAGGGCCACACGCCTGTTGTGCACACCCTCTGCCTGCCTCCTCGTCACACAGCAGCTGGTAAAGGAAACATGCTGACAAGCGCAGAGAGCTACGACAGCAGTAACTGGAAACAACCGACGACAGTAACCCAAGGCACAAAGCCAGGACACACTAATTCTGCAATAAAGTTTCCTGTTTCTTATTTTTTTAGATTAGGCAATTTATATATATAGTTCCTGCTATAGTACTTCTCCTTGCATCCCTTAACAAATAACTGCAGGTTTCCTCTGGCAGCTACAGAACTCCCAAGCAACTCCACAGTGACCCATGTACTGTCCTACCTGAGGCTGGTTTGGGTTTATTCCCCCCCCCTTTTTTTTTTTTTTTTTTATGGACCTG